AAAAGTAGGTGTAGTCAAATAGGGCACGATTTTATGACATACCTGGTCTTCTTAAATGTTGATGGGTTGATCCTTTAGTCTAAAGTTTTCCAGAAGAGGTCAGGAGTGTAATATTGTAGATTATTTTCCAGAAAATAACCATAGATACACTGAAAATCAGGTAGGATACTATATAAGAGAGAGAAAGAGGAAATAATGCCCAGTTTTATTAGAAAAACATTTCGTCAATTTCATCAGGATGTTTTGTTTGATGAAAATATTGACATGCTTCTGCAATTCTATAGTATGCAGATCCTAGCAGAATGATGAATTATACTGAAAAATACAAAAATATCATTAGTTATGATTAATTTATCTCCAATGAAAATTGGGCAAAACATGGTGAAAATAAATAGTAAAATGCAATACCATATAGCGCTTTAATTTGGTGGAGTTCTATTTTGGCGATTGGCAGTTTGCAAGCAGAATCGTCAATATTAAAACCACTAATCATTAATGTGCATACACAGTAATGCAGGTGTACACAAAAATTGCCAAATTTGAAACCACCAATTACAATTTTACAGCAAAATCGCCAAAATAAAGCGCTGCCAAAATAAAGTGCTATAATGGTATTTTCATTAATGCATAAACCACAGGAGCCTTATTGAACTACATGTAATTTGTAATAGTAACAATATCAAAAATTGCAAATATTTAAAAAACAGCAAGACGGTCATGAAAATCAAAACAAGCATACAAAAATCCATCTTTATCAAATGCTAATCCTTTAGGACTAATAAATGGATCAGTTTTACTTCTAAATTTCCTAACAAACACACCATCACTAGTGAAGACTGATATACGATTATGACCCCATTCACTAACATACACTAGACCAGTAGCTACAGTGTCTATTGTTATAACATGTGGCTCCTTAAGCTGTCCAGGACCAGATCCTTCAGTACCAAACTGACCCACGAACTTTCCATCAGGAGAGAATTTTTGAATGCGATGATTATTCTTATCAACAACATACACTAATCCGTGACTGTCAATAGCAATGCCACGTGGAGACAGAAACTGTCCATTAGCTGATCCTTTACTACCAAATAAATGAGAGAAGGTTAGATCAGGATTCAAGATTTGTATACGATGATTACCATTATCAGCAATATAAACCTGTCCTGTTATAGGAGAAATGGATATACCATAAGGATTATTGAATTGTTGTGGTCCACTGCCCCTCTCACCAACTGATGCAATAAAATATCCATCCATGCTTATCTTCTGGATACTGTTAGTTTCATCAGACACAAGAATGAATTTGTCTAGAGTAATGGTTATACCATGAGGAATAGAAAACTTAACATTACCACTTCCTCCTTCCCCTCCTAATGATTTTACTTTCTTTTCTTCTCTATCCAGTATTGTTACACAGTTACCAGTCTTCTCAGTTACTATAACATGATTATCATCACCTACAGCAACTCCCCAGGGACACTTAAGCTTAGTTATAGTATGTACCGGAGTGATGTTGTTAAGGTAAGGATTAAAAGGGATGACTAGTGAGGTATCCTCAAGGTGTACATCATATATTTGTAGTTTTACTGTATGAATACCACGCATTGAAGGGCTACACTGTATCCTATACACTCCAGGATCAGTGCTGGTGGTAGTGACTGTAATGTGAATGGGTTTACTTTTACCAACTGGTAGATGTGCTAAACTACACCTCAGAGAAGAGAGGGGAACACACAAAAGAGATGAATCTGGTGCCTCCATTGATAGTGAAAATGAAATTTCCTTCTCCTTTGGAAGACATTTGAAACAATTAACTTTCTTCACTCTACATTGCTGTAGTGCAGTAGATGAGTAGGTCACAACATCTCCAATGTGATGTAGTGATTTGATATCTTTACTCAATACAAAGTTGGCTTTTTCCTTTGGGTATAACTCCTCCACATTGATCCCTGCAGTAACTTCACTCATACGCTCGATCATCTGTTTCTTAGACCTCAGGACTTGTTGAGGACTGCCTGTCTTCAGGCTCTGTTCCACATAATTCTCAACATCCTCCAGAAGACTCAAACTCATTTCTGCTGACTTCATTTGCTCTGAAAGCACCTTCAGTTTATCATCAGTGACCCTCTTTGCCTGCTCAGTCAGTTTCCTCTCTGACTGACAAAGAACATTTATCATTTCCTCTACCATTTCATGTATTTCTTCTAAGATTCCTTCCCTTTTCTCTCTAATCTCACACTCTCTCTCTTCTATAGCAGACAAGACTTTTTTGAGTGCTTCCTTCTTTCCTTCAATTGGTGATAGACATTCTCTTAGCTCTTGACTGTGTTTAGTATAACTGTCAGCAATTAAGTCATATTCATGATGTTTGTGATTACGAACTTGACAAGTGACACAGATTATTGTATTACATGTTTCACAGAATAGCTCCAAAGGCTTTCCATGATCACTACATGTGGCCTCTTGAGGATTTGGCAAAACTGCTGTCTTCTTCATTAGACTATGCATCTCTTTGAGGTTGTTGAGAGTGAATGCTACAGGAAAGGCTCCTGCTCCTTCTTCTGGTAACTCTGTACGATGACGACAAGTGGGACAAGAGAGGTAAAAGGTCTCATTCTTTTTATCCAGAGGTAATCCCTCTAGACAGTGCTTACAGAATGAATGTAGACAAGGTAAAGTCTTAGGGTTGGTATAGTGGTCAAGACACACAGGACAGGTGAGTTGTTCCTCCAGTTTGAGGAGACTAGGAGAAGAAGATGAAGATGGTTTGGATGCCATTTATAGAAAAAAAGAGAGTTTAAATACAACAAGAGACACAGCAAGAGATCAGGAAATGAGAGAGATTAGAGATGAAACCTAGCAAACAAAAGGAAGTTGATCTTGTACAATGTAAGTGTAATACAATGTATGTACTATTCAAAAATCTTGTGACTATTATTACAGTAATACAATGAATTACATTAACATTTTAAAGCCGTATCAACCAGCAGTGAGGTCAAACTTCCTCCAGTTTGAGGAGACCATGAAAATGGCTTGGATGCCGTTTCAAGAAAAGAATAAAATGGTGTCTGTAAAGTAAGAACGAAAAATAAAGAGAGTACTGTACTTATTATTATTGTTATTCTATTTGTACAGGTTATACAAGGCTACAAGTGCATTCTTGTGAGGAGGTTGGCATATAAATAGAGTGAAGTTTTATATAAATAATTTTATCATTTCAAAATAAATAAAAATTAAATACTAAATACATATAATATTACACAGTACATTACCTTACCTTGAGTCCTCTTAATCTCTCTCCACTCCTAGTATAGCCTCACTTATCCCTGGCTGCATGTACAGCTGTTGTAGGACTGTATTTATGTAACAAGTGGTCTGGTATTCTTAAGACCAACATAACCACAGGAACTTCTGCCAATAGTCAGTGGACGAAACTAAAGTAGTGAAAGAGAAAGATGAGAAAGAGAGAGTGACATAGAGAGACAGAGAGAGAGAGAGTGGCAGAAAGGGAGAGAGAGAATTATACATACATGTATCTCCCTCCTTCCCTCACCCCCCATTCTTTAGAGTTCATTGATCTACAGCTGTGGTCAACCTATTGGATATACACTTCAAGTTAGCAAGACAGTCGGTTGAGAGCTCAGTGAGGAGATCATAGGCAGCAACTCTAGCAGCAACATCATTGCACCTAATGGAATAATAATAATAATAATAATAATGATAATAATAATAATAATAATAATAATAAAATTAATTAATAATAATAATAGCACAGTAAATATTGAAAGAACAAGTACATACATATACATGTATTAAACTATAGATGCCAATCTACAATTCCCACAGTAACTATTACATTAAACCACAATTCAGCTACGACATACATGTACATGTACATGCATATGTATAGGGTATGTCATATGTCTATAAAAACATATGTTTATTTAATTTTACATGTTTTGTTAATAGAAAATTACCTATAATTTTACATTTTATGCTTCTTTAATGTAATCCTGTGTTTATGTCACTCACTTTGGTTCAAAGTTTAGTATACCCTTAGCCTCAGGATCCCTTGATTGTGAGACTAAGTGTGAGGCTGGGAATAGGAAATTGGCAAGTAAATCTGGTACCAAAGTATCAGTAATATAGGAGGTCTTATCAACACCTAATAAAGGAGAGAGAGAGGGAGGAAGAGGATAAAGATATACATGTACATGTAAGAATTAATAACTCTAGAAAGATTTGTGCCATATAGCTGAAGTTTCTGTACTTATAAATGGACAATAAGTACATGTACACATAGAGCCCCTAGGCGTTAAACTACCTTCAATGAATTATTTATGGTAGCCACACACAATATAAATAAATGATGGCAAGAAGCTCTCCACATCAAAGGCATACCATATACTGGGATATTTTCGTGTTGCTAAATTTTTTGCGAATTTTGCATTTGTAAGATTTCACGAAATAATATTTTCGCGAATAGCCTGTAAACTCCACCACTTGGCAATGGAAATTTAGAATTTTGCGATTTTAATTTTCGCGACGGAGCAAAAAACGCGAAATTCGTGAAAATTTGGCTACTCGAAAATTTCCCAGTATACGGTATCAAAGCTAAAGGTGCCAAAATCAAGCATAGCAAGAAAACTATGCTGCACTTGGTCTATATGATGTAGTCTGGCCTCCATACTTTCCATGAATTCTGCTTGTGAGCCTGTAATACCTTGTAGCACTCAGAAAAATGGCCACACAGTGTTACTGCCTGATCTTGAGGCCTTCTTGCGATCAGTACATAGGCAGATAACGTATATAAAAAATTATTTTTTTGTGAATGAATATCATTATTGTACTCATATTCATTGAAAATAGTTTTAGCGCCTAGGGGGTCTATGCATGTACAGAATAAAACCATTACATTTAATTGTAAATATTAATCATGTATAATTATTAATATTAATACACTGACCATGACAAGACATTAGAGCTCTTATTAGGTTCAAGCATCCAGCAACTGTACTGCAGGGCAAGGAGGAGGAGGTATGTGGCCACTGATGATAACCAATCCAACTCCTTCTTTAATATATGATGAACATTAACTGGTAGAGACTCCTCTTCAGATACTAAAAAATAAAATATTAATTAGTAACTGCAAATTTACCTATGTACATGCATTATAAACATGATATACATGTACAATGTACATATACATGTAAATGTACATGTATATGTATTGTACATGTACATACACATTACATAAATGAACCAACCTAATAATCTTTTACGAGGTGAGATAAAAAATTAAAATGTTCCGTGCACCTTTCCCACAGCACTAGGTTAGTGTTGCTGGGTGGGGTCTGTTTCCTTAGCAACAAGTCAGCGGTAGAATTTAAGAGGAGATGAAGGAAGAAGTGCTGTGGAGAGAGAGACAGGGTCTTTGGGCTGACAGGACTAATCCTCTGAGTCTTCATAAGACACCAAGAGAAGAAAGAAATAAAATATCAAGAGCAGATTAATGTATTGTAATATCAATTTAGCTTGTAACTTTGGAGAAGAAAATTTGGTGATTCACTACAATTTTTTTGGATGATTGTCTGGTTATAATTTGACAAATTCGTGGCTATTTGCCATTGAGCATGTTTTCTTTAAACATCAAATTTGACAACATTTCTCCTCCAATATACAACAAGTACTACCATCTCTACAGTATTCATTTATTAATTATCCTACCTGAGTAAAACCTAGCATCCAAACAAAGATCATAAAACAGCTTAAACTACACACACGTATGAGCATAATAATGAGCATAATTGGATTCATTTCAAAGCATAATAGGATGGAATTTGGGGCAGTGCCTAAAACATAACAGGAAGAAATTGAAGCATAATTTGCCTAGCCTTTGTGGCTATCTTTATCAGTATATACCTATTGGTCATGTTTTCCTAGCAATTTATTACAGTCAACGATATTCTTCTTTCTGCAAAGGAACCATTTCTCAATACATGTTAGCAGGTACAACTCATCAATGGAGTCCAAAGCAGCTGCTACTCTAAAATATGCTTGTCAGTTCAATGATTGAGATCCTGAGAATAATAATAATTGATTTTTAAAATAATAAAGATTTACTTCTTTTCTAAGTTGTAAGAATTTAGGATCAAACCCAAGACAAGACTCATTGACCATCCTTATCTGCAGTGCCTCCTCAAATCTTAAAAAAACAAAATAATTTAAACATGTATTCAAATCTCACTTCCTTCAACTGCCATGACTTCTCCTCCTCTTCATGCTGCTACCAATCTCAATGCTAACTTGGGTAAACTTGGAGAGATCCCAACTGTTATCTATAACAATAACAAATAACCCAAAGAGCATTAAAAACATAACATGAATGCATGCATACATGTATCCGAGCACTTACTTTCACCACAATGTAATCCAGGGATGGTTCAAAACAAGCTGTAGTGCTGTGGTAACTGAAATCAATAGTTCCAATAGGAGACATCCCAGTGCTAGTTTAGAAGCAACGTAAGCGAGAGGGTGGCAATATGATACTCATTTATTTGTCACTCATACATATCAAGTAGTGTAGTGATCATACATTACCACATTTACTTCATGTCATAATAGACGACTGTATCCTTTTACAATTAAAAATGGCAGTTTATGTAATTAATACTGTAAAAATGCAATATTTTAAGATGACTTTAATCAGTCTAACAAAATAAGAATAAGTAAAATTAAAAACCAGTTAATTGCTTTGTAGTAGCACATGTGTAAACTGTAAAATTTATAATATGTAAAAATAAAAATTAAATGATAAAGGTATTGAAATATTCTGCTTCTACCATAACTTTCAGCAGACTACTCATTCATCACTCGATATCATTGATACTGATACTCAGACTACTTTGTATTGGTATCGATCAAAAATTTTGGTATCACCCACCTCTAAATCCTAGTCTATTACATATATAGATCTACTTGGAAAATCTCAATTAATTTTTAAAAAATTCAAAATCACTGTTGTAAACACGGTTGCAAACTGTCTGTATTTGCTCTAGGCTTAGATAACACAATATATTATTGATGGTATTACTTACATTTTAGCAAGATGATTTGAGTGCTGTAGTGAAGTCTTTTGTGGGATCTCCACGAGTCTCCCATTCGTCTCTTTAAAGGTATACATCTCGGTATATCTATTATGCTAAGTGATCATGTCATCATGCAGAGGTGTGTGCTGTGTGGGCTACTTAAAACCACGCCTAGATTCAAGTCGACTCTAGAGCAATGGCTCTCATTACGACTTCAATGCCGCCTCCTTTAGGTAAATTTGGACTCAAGTGCTTGTTGATTGGCTCTGGATTGTTGCTGCTACTGACTGCACTTTCTTTTTTCTGTTCTTTACCTAATCTTCACTTAATACCATTTCTGATCGCAGAGAGGCACTACGTGTATCTAATCCTGCCTTGTATTAGTGTTCTTCTGCTCGTGGGGATCTGTATAGGGCTTGTTCGTGCCACTATTGGCCGCCCTTCGAAGGAAGATTTAAATGAAACAGGTCAGTTTAAACTTTAAAGCTTAACATCCACGCAAATTTGTTGAAAACAACTTTGTGGTTACTTTGATGTGTGCCGACTTTGTTGCGTGAAATAGAAGTGTTCTATTTCAGGCAACAAATTGCTGTTAATTTCAACAAAGTTGCCTGGACCTTTGTATTACTATGATTATTGATCTTTTTCCCATAAACAGATAGCCAACGATATTTGAGGATCTATCATGAGCAGCTAAAATCAAAAGGGTCACTCAATGTCAACATCATTCAGTGTATGACCGTCGGTCCCCCAACTGTTGGAAAAACAACTTTAAAAGAACAGCTCCTCAAATCTGAAGCTTGTTCTGATGTAGTTAATGAGAAGCAGACAAGACCCTGCAGTAGCCCTGTGGTTGAAAATGTTAAGAGGATTCAAATTTTTCTTGACAAAGAGAGAGAGAGTCAGTCACTCTTGTCAGTCATGGTTAATAGCGAGTACAATTATTCCTGGAAAATACTTTCATTAGATGAAGAAGTTATCGGTTGCTTAAAGAAGCTCTCTGCAGTTGGGAACAGGGACATAGCACAAGTCTCATGGAAAGCGTATCTTTTTATAGTAACAGCAATATTGATCTATTGTGCTAATCTAATGTACGTGGGATGGTATGCTGACAATCCTTTACAGTATCTACCAGATCCAAACAAGCCGTTTAGCATAAGTGATGAGAATGGTTTGTACTATCTTATTTATTGTTTTATATTTTTGGGAGTCTTTTTTGTAACTCTGATAATAATAATGGAGCAGGCCCATTCTTATTGGAGAAGATTAACCTCTGTTAGCATCATTGAAGCTGATACTGTTGTCAAAGAGGCATTGGAACAAAACAATGTCAAGGAAGTCCAGCCATTTTTTGATAAAACCTTAACCATTTATTTCAGAGACTGTGGTGGACAGCCAGAGTTCCATGAAGTCCTTCCAGCTCTAGTCTCTTATTCAACACTCTTTCTTTTGATGTTCAATCTCAGCGAGGACCTTGATAAGCGCTACGAAGTTACCTACAAGGCTAATGATACTGATATTTCTGAACCATACAAAAGCAGTTTTACGGTCAAAGACTCCTTGCTTCAGTGTCTTGCCAGTATCAGCTCAATTGGTAACTATGCTAAACCAAGCACTAGTGTTTTTTGGAAGATCCTATCGGCCATTAAAGTGGTTTGGGATGCTTTTCGTTCTTTATTTTTGAAGTCGCAACAAATTTTTGGTGCTGTTTCAAAAGTAATTATCATTGGGACTCATAAAGACAAACTTACTGTTAGTGAAGTTGAAGAAATCCGTGAAGAATTGAGAGTTTAAAAAATCAGTGAAGATTTGAAGCAGGAATGCAAAGGCACTGACTGGTACTCTAAAAACATGTTTGTTCTTACTCCAAAAAGTAACCAGTTTGTACTAGGTATAAACACTTTTAATACTGTAGACACCAACAAAGTAAAAGACATGGTAAACAAAGTTGTCAAAAATGGTGGCTATAGACTGGAGATACCAGTGCCATGGCTAGCACTGGAATTTTGCATCAGAAAGTTAGACAGGAAAGTTATTTCTTTGAAAGACTGCCAAAGACTTGCAGACGAGTGTAAAATAGAAAGTACAACTGAATTCCAGGCTGCAGTTTGGTTTCTTCATCATATTGTAGGAACCATTAGGTATTATGACAAGGTCCCACAAATGAACAGTGTCATCATTGCAGATCCACAAATATTATTTGATATAGTCACGGATTTGATAGTCAAAACATTTAGTTTTATTAAAGAGAATCCTAATGAAGAGGATAGGTTCAAACTATCTGGAAGATTCACAGAACGTCATTTGGAGAGTTGCAAGACAGTCAGAGAGAATCTCCTTACAACCAGTCAGATCATAGCACTACTGCAATACTTAATAATAATTTCTCCAGTTGGTTTGAATGACAACAATGAAATGGAATATTTCTTGCCTTGTGTACTAGTCCATGCCTTCTTGCCACAAGAAGAGGAAGATACCTCAGCTGTTCCTACAAGCATCATTCCACCTCTTTTGGTGACCTTCCAGTGTAATTATACTCCAAGAGGTGTTTTCAGTTCTCTCATAGCTCATATACTCAACAGTAAGCAAGGAGAATGGAAGCTAGCTTCAGAGGAGATATACCGTGATCAGGTTCACTTTCGTCACAAATCAGGATATGTTATTTCAATAAAAAACCTTTTCCGATTTCTTGAGGTGAAAGCCGTACCTCCTAAAGGCTCTGAATCGTCTCCAATTAAACATCTCCCAGGCATCACTGAACTTTTATCAACCTCATTGGAATATGTTAGAAAGCATTTAAACTACACCAAAGTTGCCAGTCATTCTTTTGCCTTTTACTGTCATAATACTGACCACAAGAAAAATTTAGAGCCACATCCGGCTAAGCGTAATGAGGATCATACTATATGTAGTAGGGATGGGAAGAAAACGACAACCATGACAAAAGGACAAGCTCAATGGTTTGGTTAGTAAAATTATATTTAGAAGTACACAATTTATATTAGTTTTCTTGCATAGGTATTTCAGTTGTTGATAATAGTGGGGCACTATGTAAGTACTTTGTGTGTAACAATAAGTAATGATTGCTATATTAATGCTGATAGCATATAGGTTATTCAACAAAAAATTAATCATGCTAATTATTTTTTCACCTCTTTTAGGTACTAAAAATTTAGATGAAATTTTATATGTTTTGGATGCAGTACAATTTGAAAAAACATCTTGGAGACGTTTTGGTCTACGTTTAGGACTATATAACCGAACACTGAGTGAAATTGAAGCTAACGAGAGAGGAATAGTTGGCAACTGTCTTCAAAATACTATCTTAGTTTGGTTGAAACAAAGAGATGATGTCAATAGAAAAGGAATTCCATCATGGGGTACTCTAGCAAAAGCATTAGAAGACATTGGAGAGAAAGGAGCTGCTTGTTCAATTCTCAAGAAATATTCTTGAGATTCCTAATACCGTATAGCGGTAAATTTTTGTGACCCAAAATTTTTGTGGATTTTGCATTTTTTTTTTCAAAATTTATCAAAGTAGAAAACCACGAAAATTAAAGCCACGAAATTGATTTTTAGACGGATCCTTCAAAATTTTTGGGCCGCAAAAATTTCTCGCTATACGGTACTATGAACAGACAAGTATAGTCATTAAATAATTGATTTATCAATAGTCTGATTGCATTATTTTGTAACTACTTTCAGTATTTTACCCTAATGTAAACTTTTCTAATTTAACACTGAAAAGTTGTTTATTTACATTTAATTAGTTTAAATTAATTTTGATTATAAGTCTTTGAGTTATGAGCTCTTAAAAAATTTGACCAGAAAGATGATTGTCTGATTGCTTGGCTAAACTGCTTACTGCTACCAAAGAGCTCTCATGTCTATAAACACATAGATAATGAACATTTTATTGATGGGAAATGTCACCTGAAAACAACTCAATAATATAAAAGAGAGAGGTATAGTCTTGCCAATCTATTGCTGTCACATTATTGGTTCTGTCAGTAGTAAGTAGCACTATATATATTGTAACAATTGTAACACAGTAATGATTCATTGTTTACACAATTTAATTTACGTAGGAGTGAGATTTGAGCTCATTTTTAATAAGTTCAAGTAATTACTGAACTAGCTAAATTTTTTGCAGGGTTACACAAAACTAGTTGAGTACTAACAAAGACTTAGTATGGTTTGTTATCTAAACAATCACATGATGTGGTTTAGCCACAGGGTATGAGCCTGAGGGTGACCCTTTTGTTTGGATTACAATGAATGCAATGATGGTTCCTAAAGTATTTCTTGTCTCTCTCCTTTCTCTTGTTCTAGTATATTCTGCTGCTGGTTTGGAGTGTAGGATCTATGTCAGTTCATCTGATGGTATCAACAATACCTCTTGTTGGACTGGAGGAGTTCAAACACCTTGTGCTACTATTGATCTAGCTATACAAGGAACTGCTACTCTACAATACAACTGTTCATCAGGTATCCTTATCAACCTGTCTCCTGGTACATATACACTAGACACTACTAGTCTACTAGAGCAACAGCTACTGAGGAATAATGTGAGTATTATTGGTATGAGGGATGGTAATAGATATGAAGAGGTTAGTATCACGTGTCTACATGTTTCCTCTTCTTCGTATAACTGGTTGAGGTATATTGTATTTCAATGTGTTAGTCTTTATAATTGTAACAGTTTTCCTGTTACATGTACTGAACCATCCTTTGATCTTGCTACACACTATAAACCATTACTGGGGAATGAAGCTTGTCCGAACTATACATTAGTCTTAGACAGCATCAATACATCCACCATAGACTGTTATGATTATTACCGGCATGATCACTGTCAGTGTGATTATTTTTCATTTAATGCTTCCATTGTCAATACTTGTACTGGCAAACCACTTAATTGGAAATATCATCTTAACGTTTGCTTTAATGATAGCTGTCATGAAGTCAGGTCAAGACCAACAGATAAAAAAGGCCATTCATACTATGAAGTGCAGGATGAATGCTTTGATAAATATATTGATGATAGTCCTACAGAAATGTTACTTCACATTTACATACTAAATGTTGGGCATACTGAAAATATAACTGTGACAACTACATGTAAATGCATTCATGGTAACTGTACAAGGCCTAATTGTGATACAGATAATCAACCATATAAGCTTCCTTGCCATAGTCATTTAGACAATGATCTCCAACTTATTGGCTACTGCTATGACGAAACTACAGAAGAGTGCTATATTCATTGTGCGTCGAAGGGAGTACCTTTGGACAATGTCAACACTTGTACTAAATGTGATAAGTATGGTTACCTAGTATTTATTACAATAGAAATATTACCTATCACAATCATGGTATTATTAATAATAGTATTTAATATACAACTAACCAATGGATCTATTAATGGAGTGGTATTCTATTCACAAATGATGTCAATAAGTTATTCTGATTATTCTTATTATTACCACAATCATTATAACCCAGTACTACCACTATCTGAAATACTATACAATATCCTCAACTTAGATTTCACCCCATTTATTGACCATAAATATTCTTTATGTATATCAACTAATACACCACCATTAGGAGTAATTTCCTTTTGGTATGTGATAGGATTCTATCCATTGCTCCTCCTTCTTATTCATTATGTTTGGATAACATTGTACAATAAAGGTTTTAAGTGTGTAGTATTTATTACTAGACCATTTCATCGTTTCATGGCTCGTTTTTGGAGTATGACTGGCATTGAACAATCCTTTACTCACTCCATAGCATCAATATATATACTCTGCTTCACTCAATTAGCTGCTACTTCCTTCCAAATATTAAGCTTCGATGCAAACAGTACATCTAGCTTTAATGGTACCAAATTCTATTATGATATGAAGCAAGATTACTTTAAGGGGGTACATGGTGCTGCTGGTTTCTTTGCAGTCTTAGTGTTATTGTTTTTGATTGTTCTACCATCACTTTATATACTGCTGTATCCATTCATGTGGTTTCATAAGTTATTGGATTGTTTGCATTGGAGAAAACAGCTATTGATATCACTGGGTGATGTATTTACTGGTCCTTATAAGAATGGAACTGAGAATACTTATGATTATCGTTTTATGGCTGGACTATATCTACTAGCAAAAATAATCATTTTGAGTCAATTCATTAACGGCCAAATGTTTATAGTTTCAGTTCCATTTTGCATGGCTTGCTGTTCCTTCTTAATAGCAGTAATAGTTATTATTTTTCGTCCCTTTCGAAGAAATATTCATAATTTTAATGAGTTTTTAATTATGTTTACAACTATGAGTCTTGGATGCATAAATGGTGTTACTTCCTATTTGATCTCAAAAAAGGTACCTCATATTGATGATATTTATCTGATAGTATCAGATACGCTTAAGATTGTACTACCAGCTGTCAATGGTCTATTTTTTGTGATTTTTATACCAGGTTATATAATTTACCGAGTATACAAAATGATCAGGTCATGCTATCGTTATCATGATGGTTTTATGGCTAACAGGGAATACTATCGGCCATTAGTTGGCATTGGTGATGACTGTATTGCTGACCGCGTGGAGAACCCTCAAGATTATGATGAGCAACATGTACTTGGCGGAATGTCTGATGATGTATTGGAAGAGGATCAACAACCAGTTACTATAGTAACAGCTGCTACTTATGGCAGTATCAATGACAATTAATATAATATACTTTACATATATACTTTAGATTTGTTGATTAGGTACTAATGAATATTTCATTTTTGCTTTGATTGTGTAGGTTTTTGATTGAATTAGTTTTTGTTGAATGAAAAGAATTATTTTGAAAATGGAAACAAGCAAATTTTGGTCAGGCTGTGAAACTATGGGATGCCAGTAATACTTGATGCTGACAAAAATGACTTTTTACAGTTAATTATCAAAAATCTACAGCCCAATTAAAGCATTATTAAAATTGAGCTCAAAATTATATCCCAACTGTAATGATAAAGCATGCTCAGAAGTTATGAATCTACACACATAATTTAATATTATTGAGGAGTACGTATTATGCAATTATTATTACTTGTATTAATATAATAATATGTACACTATTATTATTACAAATGAATTAATGAATAGAGATAGCAATAAATTGGGTGATTAAGCCCAAAGAGAGGACTCAAAATTAATTAAGCATAAAAGCCTGAGATAGTTAAAATACCAGTAAACATTAGTCCAGTGTATTGTAGATAGTATAATGTGTTATCGAAACAATGTCAGTAATGGGAGCCTCATCTAGTAGTGTAGTAGTTTGTATATCTTCCACTGGCTATTTATGTAACATTGTCACTATAGTGGTTCCTCCTCCTACTACGTACTCTAGTCCTAGTCCTTCTTATGTGTCCAGTCATAGTCAATGATTCAATGTCTCCCATACCATCCCACTCATACACTCACACCCCTCCCCAGAAACTGATATGCATATTTTGAAATTGAGGTCGGCGGCCAGTGCAGGCCTTTGAATCATTTTAAAATCAACAGTAATAACACAGTAATCGAATACATAAGAGTCAGGAGGAAGGGGACCCGGTCGGAGCTTGTATAATTTGGGGCGCTTGGTCCCAAAGCAACCCCAGGAAAAAACCCACCTCATGCTTTTTTTTTAAAACCTTGACCACATCCTCTGGCTCTAAGAACAACAAACATCAACACAACACAGAAACTTGACCTATAAATTAACCGAGAAAAGTACACAACAAAAAAAACATTAATAATAACAATTATAGTTTAGACAGTATATCCTTGTAGACTGCAGCTCTTTTTCTTGTATACAGCATTCAGCTATCCCCTAACTTTTGGTGAATTAAGGAACAAATAACAGTAGAGTTAAAATGATATAACAACAATAGTGAAGGCATAGTTGATAACTAGGGTGGGGGGGGCGGGCTGCCTGCACACGTTGTGACACGCCGTAGACTTGCTCTTAAAATCAATTGAGGATCTATCCAGCTTGGGTTTCTTGGCAGCCAGATCTGCTACCTCTTCGAAACGCTTGGATATCCTTGCGATACTCTGCTCATTCTGAGTGTTGGATCTCTCGACGGCTTCCAGCAGATTCTTGAGTCGATCCTCGAGAGTAGCGTCTCCACCAGCTCCTCCAGTGGCCATAATGATTGAAGAAATACACACGAAGACTAGTATGAAGGTAGAAGCCCACCTTAAATAAACGCCCATCCTTAAAATATTCTCACTATGGATGTGCATATTTTACTCAATTTAGATAGTCTTATCTTTAGAAGGCTACAAATAGCTTATATCTTGAAGCAGTCTGGTGACATGGGTTCAATCCCACTTTTGGCAGATTTTTTTATTTTTATGCAATTTTTCCCCTGTTAATGAATAAACGCCTGGGCTTCTAATCAGGCAAATACGGTAATAATTTTATGTGTGATCTAATAATTTGATCCTCCTTACTTCAATCTGTGGTAGTTCTTTTTAGCATGGTTGTTGTACTTCAATTGTGTCAAATAAACATGAGAACTTGTACCTGTTCTCTGCACTGCCTATCATCTCTAGGGAAGTACCCCTTACCTACAAACCACATGACAATCACACGATATACAAAGATGTACATGTAGATATGTATCACATCTCAAAATCAGAATAATACACCCAGAAAGCATGCTAAGCGAGCTAAACAGCATGCTTCACGAGCTGACAAGCACTACAATACAGTACATGGCATTTAGAGCAAAGTTAAAAGTTTGAAAAAATCCAACTTAAATTAGAATCAGCTCAAACTTTCTACACGACATAAGAACACGTATATGCATTAGAAAAAAAGGACAATTCTCTCCCTTTCAATTTTGGCAAAATTTGGCCCGAGACACTGTACTATATTAGTAACATGGTAGCGTTACTAAGTAGGATTTGCTCCACTTCAACATGGCTGCCACGACTTCTGCAGCCTTTAGTACATAGACTTTGGCCTGATTTCGGAGCAACTTTTAAAATTTGTAAAAAAATGTAAATTCAATTAGAATTAGCTCAAACTTTCTACACAACATGTATATCAGAAAAAATTATAAAAATAAAGAATTCTCTCCCTTCCAATTTTGACTAAATTTGACCCAATACGGCAATACCCTGCAGAGGGGCTTTGACCAAGTTTTTGAGACTTAAAAATTCACTGACAACACACAAGATGCTACATTACTACACCAAAACCCTGTGAGAAACGCTGACAACACTACATGCAGCTACACGTAGTTAGTACCTTCTGGTGGTATAGAGGTATTGCTATATTATTTGGTAGTTGTCCTCCCATTAATAGAATAAGTCCTTCAGGCTGCTCAAGATCATATATGTCCATCACTGTCTCAAATGAGAGCTCATCAAAATACAACCTCTCACACTCATCATTATCAGTACTGACTGTCTCTTGATTATAATTAACCTAAACAGGTATGGATAATATCAATAACCTATTAGTAATGTTGCTATCTTATTGTTAATTCAGGGTTTCATAGAGAGGGGGGTGGCACTGGGATTCCCCCCCACATTAGGTTTCCCCTCCCACAAAAAATTTCTGCATGAAAGCCTGCTCAATGAAGCAATTAAAATAATTACAATATTATACATTGTACATGTATGCAGAAACCAGCACAGTTTAGAGTTCCCCCCACAAAAAATTTCTGTATGAAAGCCTAAGTTATTACCATTATTGTGTTCTTTCCTAGTTTCCTAATTCTCTGATGCAACTCACAGCATAAGAATCAAACTCAACTGAACTGCCAGTCCTGTACACACCAGACCCAAGTACCATATAGCACCACCTACACATAATGCATTATTAACGTACCATAATAAAATACATGTACATGTATAATGAAGCTCATTCTAATAGCATGCAAGTACCAATTGTAGTATTTTGAATCATAGATTGGGGGCTTCTAATAATGTTGGCATAGTTCTTTAACTATCAATGTAGCATTTTAAAAATCTCTTGGTAAATTTGCTAAATTAGTGAATGATAATAAATGTGGATTTCATAGGTGCTACTAACCAGAAAAGTCTAGATCATTTGTTTCTTCATTATAAGTTAAGTATAAATAATTAGTGTGGGCAGAATATTCAGCAGTGACAGTGTCTATTTGTTTAATAGAGGGAGGGACTGAGAGAGATTTACAAGAGTCCTCTTATGACTAGCTCCATTGAATTTATGAAACAAGAAATCTGTTGGTTGGAGAAACCCAGCTGCTTCAAATACAATAGCATTTCTTTATTGAGTGTCTGGAAAATAATAATAAAAGGAACAATAAGTAGATGGAGGTAAAACATTACGGGGTGACCTAGGCCTTAAGCAAGCAAAGCAATAACTTTAAGTTAGTTATTTCTTGTGGCTATCTTTATTACTACATACATGTATGTACTTGTTGGTCATTTTTCCTAGCATGTTATTACAGTCAATGCTTCATTATGTAAAGGAACCATTTGTCAATACATGTTAACTGGTACAACTCATCAATGGAACAACCAGAGTCCAAAGCAGCTGCTACTGTAAAATATGCTTATCAGTTCGATAATTAAGATCCTGAGAAAAATATAAATAATAATAATTGATTATAAAATAATAAAGATTTACCTCTTTTCTAAGTTGTAAGAATTTAGGATCACACCCAAGGCAAGCTTGACTCATTGACCATCCTTATCTGCAGTGCCTCGTCACTTAAAAAATAATAAAATAATTTAAACGTGTATTCTGATCTTACTTAATTCCTTCCTTCCAACTGCCATAACTTCTACGACACTATTCATGCTGCTACCCATCTCAGTGCTAATGTGAGTAAACTTGGAAAAATCCCAACTTGTATCTATATCAATGATTACAAAAAGCTACCTGACCCAAAGAGCATCAAAAACATAACATGTATGTATATGCATACATGAATCCGAGCACTTACTTTCACCACGACGTAATCCAGGGATTGTTCAAAACAAGCCATAGTTGCTGTGGTAACAGAGTTCCTTAGTTCCAGTAGGGACGTCCCAGAGCTAGTTTAGCAGCAACATAAGCAAGAAGATACCCTGTGGCAATATGATACCAAAGTACTCATTTATCTGGTCTCTGATACCAGGAATATTATACTCTAATATCTGTGGTCTAGTCTGGCGTGGCCAGACCACGCCTGGCCAGTGGCCACGCGAGACTATTTAAAGTCTAAGATGGCTCCTAAGGCGGTATTTCTTGTCTCTCTCCTTTCTCTTGCTCTAGTATATTCTGCTGCT